GCTCTTCTTGTTGATGGACTACACAGGGTGTTCAGGGAGTGGAAACGATGATGCCCTACACTTGGTGGAATGCAACAATAGAAATAAAAGCCACTGCCCTCTTTGCTTGTGAGTTTCCATCTGTCTGGAATTGAATGTACTGTCCAGTACATGCAAAGAAGACATCATTGACCTGTGAGATGACTTGTGAGTTGCTGAGTCATTTACACTTTTGCAAGATGCTGCTAAAATTCATAGCTGATCCATGAGAGACAAAAAAGTTCAAGGCCAATGTAATTTAAGTCCAAAGTGACTTTAATAGCTACTGCAGGGAATGAAATGCAATCCTGCAGGATGTAACAGCTTCTGTGATCCTGCTACTTACCTTGTAATCAGGTGGCCTCCCAATTGTGTCTGGAAGCTTTGTCTCCTTCCTCTTATGCTTCTTTAATTCCAACAAGATGCCAAATCCCTCAAGGGCTAAGATCTCACTGACCACTCTGCCCATCTCATGTGCTCACAATGATTCCCCCTGTTTTCTGCTGAGTCCCCCTCTGGAATTCTCCCTTTCATGGAAATCATCGAATTCCCTGGGTCAGCATGACTGGAACCCCAATCTGTGTCTACCTCCATGTGCCTGGACTTTCTTCAGCAAGAGCTAAATGAGCTCTTGGTTACATAGCTAATGAATTGGACAAGTTCCTCGAGCTGGTGAAACTTGGCTGCACCAGGATTATTCATGGGAATACAGCACAATGATCTGTGCCGGAATTTTTATCCCCTTGCCAGCGTCTGATCCCACCTTCAGTTGGAGCTAGAAATGCTATTCAGGTGAGTTCTTAATTTCTTAAAACAAATAGATTTCTTCGTATTGACAGAAAACAATTAGTTTCAATTTAAGACCATAAGAAATAGCCACAGCTGTAGGCTGCTTAGCCACTTGAGCCTTGTCTGTCATTCATTGGGATCATGCTGATCCAATATTTTTCACGTCTGATTTCCTGTGGTTTCCCTGTAACCCTTGATTCCCCACTTGATCAAGAATCTATCTATCTCAGCCTTAAAAACACACAAGGACTCTGCTCCCACAGCTCTCTGTGGCAAGGCGTTCCAAAGACTCACAAACCTCTGAGAGAAGACACCCCTCCCCATTTTAGTCTTAAATTGGCACTCCTTTAATCTGGGACAATGTCCTCTGGTCCTAGCTTTTCCCATGCAGGGAACCATCCTCTCAGCATTTGCCCTGTCAAGCCCCTTAAGAATCCTACATATCTCAATGAGATCACCTTTCATTTTTCTAAATTTACAAGAAAATAAATAAAGTATCCATTAGTCATTTGAAAGTAAAGAACTTAAGTTTTACTGAAGAAAAATACATGCTATTGAAAGTTTTTGTCTTGCAATAAATGAGAGAATACAAGATCTCAAAAGAGAACAACATTATATATTGCATAAGAGGGTATTTGTTGGTTAATAAGTGAACTCTGATTAGTAGATATGTTACCATGGCGAATGCACCAATTAACTGGCAAGCTTTTTAAATTCAGATCAGAAAAGCTTGAACAGCATTGTTCCTTTTTCAGCAAATCTCAAAGAATCCAGTGTCACTCTGCATAAGAACAGGGGAAGGATGTGCTTGAAAAGAAGGGGGTGTAGAGGGGATTTTTAAAAAATTCATCGACGGGATGAGGGCATCGCTGGCCAGGCAGCATTTATTGCCCATCCCTAATTGCCCAGAGGCAGTTCAGAGTCAACCACATTGCTGTGGGTCTGGAGTCACATGTAGGCCAGACTAGGTAAGGATGGCAGTTTCCCTCCCTAAAGGCCATTAGTGAACCAGATGGGTTTTTCCTGACAATCAGCAATGGATTCATGGTCATTAGGTTCTTAATTCCAGATACTTTTATTGAGTTCAAATTCCACCATCTGCTGTGGTGGGATTCGAACCCGGGTTCCCAGAACATTATCTGGGTCTCTGGATTAACAGTCCAGTGGTAATACCACTAGGCCATTGCCTCCCCGTTACAAGCATTCAACAAGGTACTGCCTGGGATGGAGCATTTCAGCTGTGAATACAGGCTGGATAAACTCAAGTTCTTTTCGTTAGAACAAAGAAGGTGGTGAGGGAGCTGATAGCAATCTATAAGATTATGAGGGACAATGGGTAGGGTGAATAGAAAGCAGGTGTTCCCCTTATTGTAAGGATCAATATAACAGGGGCATAATTTTAAAGTGGAAGAGAGGGATTTTAAAGGGGTATCACCCAGATCGTGGTGGGGGTCTGGAACACATTACTGGGAGGGTAGTTGAGGCAGGAAACCTCACAATCTTTAAAAAGTGCTTGGATGAATCACAGAATCCTTACAGTGTGGAAGTAGGTCATTCAAACCATCGAGTCCATACTGACCCTCCAAAGAGCATCCCACCCCATCCCTATAACCCTACATTTCCCATGGCTAATCCATCTAGTTTACACATCCCTGGATACTATGAACAATTTAGCATGGCCAATCCACCTAACCTGCACATCTTTGATCTGTGGGAGGAAACCCGGAGCACCCAGAGGAAACCCATGAAGACACAGGGAGAGCATGCGAACTCCACACGGACAGTCACCCAAGGGTGAAATCGAACCCAGGTCCCTGGCGCTGTCAGGCTAACCATTGAGCAACCGTGCCATCTATCTCCTCCTTAAATTTACTCAATGTCCTGACATCCACCACACTCTAGGGGTAGTGAATTCCACAAATTCATGGCGCTTTGAAAGAAGTTATTTCTCCTCATTTAATTTAAATTCACTACCCCTTATCCTAAAACTATGACTACTCGTTCTAGATTGCCCTACATGAGGAAATATCCTCTCTGTTTACTTTATCAAATGCCTTTAAAATCTTATATACCTCAATTAGATCTCCTCTCATTCTTCTAAACTCTAGAGAGTATAGACTTAATCTGCTTGATCTCTTCATAAGACAAACCCCTCATCTCTGGAATCAATCTCGTGAACTGTCTCCAATACAACCACATTCCTCTTCAAGAGGCATGATCACAAACAATTAGTTTGTCTATAACTTTAAAAATAGTGCTCAATATATACATTCATATTTACTGAAGTAAAACTGTTGTATGGTGAATAAAATATCAGCTGTCAATGAAAGCGTTAATTTCTCTGCTTGTTTGCAGTAAATGTGGAATGAAACATTCTCAGATACACATAATTGCGACATTTCACATAAATCCTAACAAAAAATACAAGTAAAGTTAAATTGGTCCAAATAAATGTTCAACTTGTTTGTTTTAATCAAGCATTCCAGAAAAGGTAACTTCAGGGCTGAAGCTTTTCTTTCATGAAAGCAAAATCCTTGGGGCCTTTCATAGTTGTACAAAGAAATTTTAATCAAAATAAATCCACAGCATCCTTAACTTATAACATTTTATTACTCCAATTCTGGAGTATGCCAAATCTGGAGATTCTCAAATTGAAACAAACACACTTGACACAGTCACACTTACGTGCATCTTCGAAATATGAATTCCTGTAATACATTATGAACGCAGAAGAGCCAAACCTTTTGTGATATTCTTGGGTCTTGAGCCAAAGAGAAGTTTAGATTTTCAACCCTTTTGAAATGAAAATTATAACTCAATTTTTTACCAAAATGTTGACACACACATGTGAAGGACAAGCAAGTAACAAACTTAAAACAAAACATGCCTGTATACTGCTAACACTCAAGACAAAACTACACAAGATGGGTTGTGCTACAATCAAAACAATAAATCACAAATAACTTTTAGAGAGAAACTTCAAACAAAAGAAACTTTCACTTGGTAATTTTTACATTTCATTTTTCTTGTTACAAACCTGCTATCAATTTCATTGATGATTGTTTGAGTTCCTTTCTCTTCTTTTGATATATGATCTCAGCAGCTTACTTTGGCTCCTGAACTCATTGTTCTTTCAATTGCTTGGATTTCTTTCATTTAACAATGAGGTGCACATGTGTTCCCCTACAGGCCAAACTTTTGCAACATTTAGCTTAAATATGCATTTCTGGATGATCTTAGAGAATCTGCAATTCTTGTAGAGAATGTAATTTTAATCCCCATTGCATTCATCTAAAATTTTTAGGATATCCATCATCTAGGCCTGTTTATCTGTTAGGTTGTCTAGCAGAGGGCATAATCTCAGAATAAGGGGTTATACATTTGCAAAGAGGTGAGGAGGAATTTCTTCTCTCAGAGGGTACTGAATCTGTAGAATTCTTTACTGCAGAAGACATGCAAGGCTGGGTCATTAAATATATTTAGAACTAAGATAGACATTTTTTTAAAGCAGTAAGAGAATCAAGGGTTATGGGAATCAAAGGCTGGAAAGAGAAGTTGAAGATTATTAGTTCAACCATAGTCTCATTACATGATGGAGCAGACTTAATGGGCTGAAATGGCTTATTTCTGCTCCTACTTCCTATATCAGTTTCTTCGATGTGATTATATAAATGTATTCAAAGGGCTTTTGTGGTGTAGTGGTAATGAACCCACAGCTGGACCAAGTGATCTGGGTTCAAGTTCCACCTTCTCCAAAGGTGTGTGACAGCATGTCTTAACAGGTTGATTTAAGCATATTTATAACTGAATTCTTTCCTCCATGGAAATATGATAGATGTTCTGTACCCTCTCCAGGATGTTAACACACTTCTTAAATAACCAAAATTGTATACACAACATTCCAGCTTACGCCTAACCAGAGACCTGCCTTAACAACATGCTGTTCCACCTTCCACTGCCAGTTTTGGCAATATGCACATCCACCAAAATAGTACCATTTAGATTCAACTGCCCTTCCGTGTTGTTTTACCCCAGATTGTTTTAAATAATTGCATCAGCAATGTTTCTGCCTATTTCATCAGTCTGTCTGCTTCCAGTGTGCTTATTTTCTTTAAGCCACATTGCCAAGTTTAATATTGTCTCTAGAATTTGTAGTTAATTGGCTGAAAAGCACTTTGGAATACCCTGAGCGCATGAAGGATATTATACAAATCCAAGTCTTTCATAACTCTCGCACCATCAATTTCAGGGTGACATGGAAAGAGGCAAGGACCAAATTTTCAGTTATTTTGGCTGTAAATGGTATGTGGGCATGATGGAGATCAAGGGGAGGGAAGGTATCTCAGCTTCAATGACAATTATTAAAGCATAAATGACTAGTACAAATGGCTAATTGGTTTCTTTATTTTTCCAGGATCAGTGGATGTGTCCCGTCGTAATCCAATTGCCTCATGGATGTGTGCAATGCTTTATTGCTTTGCCAGTTATATAATGGCTGATGTACTGCTTGGAGAATCACCCCTCCATTATTTTAACAACACCTCTCACATCTTACTGGCAACTGCTGTTTGGTGAGTGAACACAGATTTTGTCATTCACGTTGTTAAATTCACTTTTTTCCTGTGGGCGTGATAAGAATCAGGTTGGTGGGCAGAGAAGAACATGAGGGTATGAAAGTATATTTATAGTATCATTCAGTATAAAATAACTCATAGTTTGTTCTTGTTTGGTCCCCAAGTTAAAATACTGTTCTGCTTGGTGATATTGAGAAATAAATACGGAGAAGGATGTTAGAATTTGTTTACAATTTAAAACACTGTAGTTACCCAGATTGGTTCTAAGAGTTGGATGTCTAGGGAAACATAACTTTAAGAGTAATTTGACCAAAGTTTATAAAATTATTGGAAATGAAATGTTTTTTGCATAGACCAATTGAAAAGATTAGGGAGAATGTGTTCATTTTTACTGATAGTGTAAGGATAGAGGAATTTACAAAACAGGTTGTTGGTTTGTGTAGGTATGTTGATTTATTGAATTTCTTTAAATAAAAGCTGGGCATGTTTCTAGCTGAAACAAAGATCATCTGGTACAAGCATGGGTACCCTGTAATATTAATCAGGGCCAGAGGATTCTCGCTGACTAGTTTTGTGTTGAAAAAATAATTTTCCAGAGTCTTTTCCCAAACCCTAATTGGCTTCATCTTTAAAATTTTTGTTGTTGTTATTTTTATATGATGTAGGGTGAGTTGGGATATGTATATGTGCTGAAGTGCAAGGCACCTCAACTGTATGACTCTGTGTCACAAAGTGTAACACTAAGCTACATTAGGAAATGTTAGGTCAAATGTCAAAAAACTTTCAGCCATGGTTGAATGATGGAGCAGACTCGATGGGCCAAATGGCCTAATTCTGCTCCTACACCTTATGGAAATGTTTGCACGGAGGAAGTGAATTTGAGAGCCAGAGAGGTGAATGATGTATTCCAGACCTTTGCCACTAGGCAACTGAAAGAACAGCCACTAATGGTGAAGCAAATGGCAAGTAAAACTTGGGGACAAATATAGTCAAAAAGAGGGTTTTAAAACTGGCTCATTGCACTTGGTTTTTCAAATGAGAATACTGTGAAGCAGCAGATCCGACAAAAAAAAGAAGTTGGAAATGCTTATGTCAAGGGCTCATTGATATGAGGAATTTGTAAAAACTAGATAACTTGTGCAAGTGAGGAGGACTGATGCAGGAGGAGGCTTCTGTGGACGAAAAGGCCTGTTTTTACTTTGTAAAATTCTAAATTATTCAATATTAAAAAAGGGGAAATGTATATATTTCCTATTTTTGCATAATTACGAGTTAGATCAACGATTCAAAAGAGGCTGATCATAGCTATTACTCTATGTTCACTCCTTGTCAAATAATTAAACTTAACAATGGTATCAAGCCTCCAGCTACCAACTGTTTCATTGATCAACCTTCAGAGAAATTGGAGAAGTACTATTGTTCCTCCCTACCTCCCATGGTTACACCATTGTGAAAGTAAATGCAATCGTTTGGTGCTAGTGTCCCTACCTCAAGTTAGAAGATCTAGGTTCAAGTCACAACTGCCTCGGAGGTGCATCAAAACATATCCGAACAGGTTGATTAAAATAAACTGTAAAGGGGAAATAGGTGGGACTGGTGCATGGAAGGAGCTGTTTGGCTGAATAGTTAATAAATTCTACCTACAAAGAATGATGTCTTGGTTTCTGTTTCACCGAGTGACTTGGATGCAGATTGACATTGGGAGCAGCATAAATGGCAGTCTAAAGATGGATTGAAAACTAAAGGTTCTTTTCAGGCAGGAGATTATAATTGGAGTTACTTTGGAGAAGAATGCTGAAACCAAGTGCAAAGTGTTTTGATTTCCCAGTGACATTTTGTGAAGCTGAACTTAGCAATCCACGGAAAAATGAAGCAGATATGTGTACGTAGGTTAAACCTAGACCAAGAGAAAAAGGTAATTGCCTCTTCTACCACTTACTAAAAAAGATGATCAGGTGTAATGTATTCTCAGAACTAGAGTCTCAACCATTTTCAGAAAGAAACACACTTTTGGAAAAGATATCAGAAGCGTTAAAAAATTCTTGAAGAATGTTCACTACCAGCAGCCTTCTGGCTCAATTGGGATATTCAACAGCAGCACAAAGAATGGAGGATTCGATTGGAATGGCAAAAAGAGACCATTCAGATACAGGCTGAAAGCATCAATACAAGAAGAGAATCTGAAAATAGAGAAGATAGAAATGCTGACAACACCATCAAATGTAGCATTGAGACATTTTAGTGACTACAAATTAATTAGAGGTTGACAAAGGATGCCAAACAAAAAAAGTTGGAGTGCTGGAAAGAATTTAGTATATACTATGGTACCAAATAGGGTACCACCAGCCTCTTCATAAAGATGGGTATGGACAGAATATTGTTTCAACTAAAAACTTGGTAGTCAGATGCAACTGTCAATTGCCCTAACACAGAAAAAGTGATCTTGAAGATCTTAGTTCTTTTAGTAACATACTCTTGGTAATGTAAGTCACTTCATATAAAAGTTGCCCTTTTGCAGGGTGACAAGTTTCAAAGGAAAGCATTTTTGAAACCACTTAAAGAAGCAGGCGGTATAGAAGAGAAACTGTGGAACTATGGCAATAAACAAATGTGTTTATGGGTTGAATATTGAGTGAGGGTAGGCTGTTTCTCAGTTTCCAGACTTGGATGACCCAGAAGACATATAGCTTTTTAGTGATGCTGCACATGCCAATCCTCCAGTTGGGTATTTGTGTATAGCATAGTTTATTACATTATTGGTGGGAAAGAATGACAAATATTTTCTTGGTGGGAACCAAGAAAATAAAAAAAAAGGTATTGCACATCAGCAGAAGCAAGGACACGGGTGTGTATTTATCCAATATTCTAAAAAAAGTCTTATAAAGTTAGACAATCTGAGAAAAGTTTGCCCATAGAATGTGATGTGGCTAACACATTGTATCACAAAAGTAATCTTGGAGATCCTGAAATTAGGCATATGCTGATAGTAGGTATTACAAGAACACAAAAATCAACTTTTGTTTGGGTCACTTTGTGACTAAGAGTGTTTATAACATTTTTTGTTTAAAGAAAAAGGAATATGGAAGATTGATTGTATTATGTGGAATTTGAAAAATATCATTACTGATTACTGTAGTTGTATTACAAGGTAAGATATAGAATATGAGGATTGTTTGTTTCCAAAAGTTTTATTTAAAGAAAAGGGTATTTGTTATTACAGGAAGTAGTTAAACGGTTATTGGGATTAATTGATTAAATTGACTGGGGTAGATATAAAGGGAGACTGGAGTGTGGAAGGAGCTGTAATCCTGAGTAGTGAATAAACTCTATGCACAAAAAAAGGTGTCATGGTTTGTGTGTCACCTATTGGCTTGATTCCCTCTCTTTTAACACAGTACATAGCTTTACTGAACCCACAGGGCATTACTTGGTGACTTTCTTCAAGGTGTCCACAAACACTGTTTTATAGTCAAGCAGTGGGAGAGGTCTGTTAATGTTCTTACCTTTTTGATTTTCCCCCTTTCTATTTTAAGCTGCTTCCATTTAGGATTGTCTAATTCACTTAATGAATTTCAGTACCCAGCAGAGGCATGGCACAGCTTGTACCTACGATGCCTACTGTTTCAGTCTACAATGGGTGAAAAGAAAACTTCAAAGTAAATAATATTAAGGACATTAAAATCATATTAAAACCATATATTTGTTGAAACTAATGGGGTTTACATATCACCTATTAAATAAGATTTAGTTACTAATATTGAACATTTGTCATTACTGAAATAAACACCATGATTTCAACTTAGGTACCTCATCTTTTATTGCCCACTGAACCTTTTCTACAAATGTGTGGCCTTCATGCCTGTGAAGTTGGTCCTCACTGCTATGAAAGAGGTGGTGCGAGTCCGCAAAATTAGTGTGGGTGTTGTCCATGCACACCATGCTTACCACCACGGATGGATCATAATGGCTTTGGTTGGATGGGCCAAAGGTAAGTTGCCTTTTATTTCTTTATTTTTGAGATGTTACACTGGATATTACAGTGCTATACAGTCATTTTGTATTAACCAGTCCCCTATCCTTCTCACACCTGAGTAACTGATATCTCATGAGGGCCAAGGACTGCCCTTGAACTGCATATTCCTCCAAAAACATTCATCTTGTTGAAGTCGAAACTAAAATGGACTTGGTATTGGCATGAAACAAAATGACCAATTTTGTGATAGAGAAATTGCAATCCATATTGAAAGATACCCAGCTACATAGTCAAAGGCAACAAAATATCCAGAGCACTTAGACCATTACTTAGTACTGGTCATTGTTATTTTGTTCCCCACAGGTGCTGGAGTTGCACTGATCTCCAACTTTGAGCAGCTGATTCGTGGAGTCTGGAAGCCTGAAACAAATGAGTTTCTCAATATGTCCTTGTAAGTGAAAATTACAGCAGAAAGTAAAAGGGAAGCATATTTTACAACCTGAGCAATTTAGTAAAAGAAAATGAATGTTTGAAGTATGGAGTGTAAAGTGGCTACCAATTAACTCAAACCTGGTTTGAGCTGCCATTCAAAACTACTTAGCACCCCTTCAGTATTTCCGAGTAGAGGAATTAATGGTGCAGTATTTGGATACTGTGACATGTGCAAGTTCAGTGCTGTTCTCCGGATATGGAAAGACAAGAAGGATGGGGTAATGGGGGAGTTGGTGGAGGGTAATGGTAAGGACATTGAGCAAAGACGAGGTGCCTCTCCACAAGGAAACAGAAGGGTAATGAACAGCATTGCTGCTGATCTGAAACCTTTTAGCAGAATCTGAAGGCAGATAATCCACTGGGCTTTTCAATTATAAAAATAGTTCATCCAAAAGTGGGAAACTGATTGCACAAAAATGGTCACTAAAAAAAAAATCAGGAAAACAAAAATGGAGACATTACACAACTAATGAAACTAACTGCATTTTTTATTCTGATCTCTCATAGCCCAACAAAAGCTAGTTTGGTTGGAGCTGTTATCTTCACCCTACAGCAGGCCCGCTGGCTTCCCATATCCAAACACAATATCGTCTTCCTATTCACCATCTTTATGGTTGTTACGAAGGTAAGTATATCTTTTCAATTGACTAAAATAAAAACAGATTTAAGCTACGTGATATGCTATGCATAACCTGAGTAAGTGGATGCAAGAGTGCTAATTTCCTTTCCAATCTAAAGTTTATGAAAGATTAAAATATTGAAACTCAATGTTGATTGTGACTAAAAACTTCCAGTCCTTCTTTCAGTATATTAAAACATTGTCTATTAAGATACTTTTGTCTTTATTCATTCATGGAATGAGAGTCACTGGCAATGTCAGTATTCATTAGTTCGTTCCTTATTGGCCTCAAAAAGGTGGTCCACTACCAGCTTGTCAACAGTTGTGGTCCAAGTGGTGTGTGTACATGCAAAGTACTGTTAGATAGGGAGATGCAGGATTTCCAGTTCCAGGCCCATTAATAGTAAAGGATGATGTTTCATTCGGAGGCAGATTTGCACAGGGTGGTGTTCCCAGATGCCTGAAGGCTTTGTCCTGTTAGGTAATAGAGGTTATAGGCATGAAATTCTGTCAAAGGAGCCTTGGTAATTTGATGAAGTGCATCTTGTAGATCGAAGACAATGCTGCCACAGTATGCCAGTGAGATTCTATCATTACGATTACTGTTGGCTCGAGGCTCCTTTCACAATGAAGTTATTAATTAATCCTGCATCATTAAACATTACTAGGTCTTATAAAGCTTGCTCCTGGTTGACACTGAACATACTGTAAGAAATAATCCAAAAAATTCTGTGCCACTATTGTATCAATTAATTTAACAATACACAATGTTACCAGAATAACAAATCATACTACTACTACTGGGATGACACTAATTTGGTGATTGTTTCATAAAGAGAAGCAACAAGATTCACAACGCCAGTCAATAACAGTTTAAAAAAAATCCAGAGATGAATAAACTGAGATTTTCACCATACATTGCAAATGACAGTAAGGGGATACAATAAGGGCTATAGATGTAAGCAGCAAGTTAAAAAAAAGACAAAGACAAAACATAGACATCCCCACCTCCTTGACCTGACGCAACCTGTCCATCTCCGTTCTCACCTATCTGCTCCACCTTTCCCATTGACCAATCTCTACAGCCCCCTACCTACATCCACCTATTACCATCCCACTTATCATCCCCCAGCCTCCCTCACCCTCCCTCTATTTATTTCCAAGCTCCCTTCCCCCTCCCCGGTCCTGATGAAGGATCCCGACCCGAAACATCGACTTTACTGCACCTCAGATGCTGTCTGACCTGCTGTGCTCCTCCAGCTCCACATTTTTTTGACTCTGACTTCCAACATCTGCAGCACGTGCTATCTCCTAGACAAACTCTGTATCAGATGGAGCTTAATACAGGTAAGTCAGCTCAATAGGTCAGATCAAATAACAACAAGTCTGCTGTGGTCAAGGGGCCATAATCTGAACCATTCTGGAATGAAATCAAGAAAAATATTTTCACACAAAGGGTACTGGAAATCTTGACCTCTGCCCAAAAACACTGCCAATGCTGGATCATTCACTAGATTTTTCTTAGTTAAGCAGAGTTCAGGTGCAGATCAACCAAGATCTAACTGAGTAGTGGAACATACCTCACTGCCTAATTCCTGTTCCAAACTTGCAAATGACTAAAATAATGTGAGAAAAATAACGAATGTTAAAAATAAATGGATATCTCTAGCTATTGAATTTTTACATCTACCATTCTAGGTATTCATGACAGCAACACATTCCCATGGATCACCTTTCGCTCCAATTGAAGCCTTTATTTGCCCCATTATCTTTGGGAATGCCTGTGGTATCTATGATGATCATGATCATGTCTGCTCTCGTGACAATATACAGAGCTGCACCCCTTGCAATCTGTCTCCATACTCAGCCAAGACAAAGGAGGAACTTAATGAAGGGACAAGGAAGAAGAAATGCAAAAAGACTGAATAAGTGATACGACTCCCACCACAGTTATCAAAGCGTGCAGAAAGTGCAATTTCTGGGACTTAATGTGATCTGGAAACTGTTACTATGAGGAAAATCGACATAATTGTACTCATACAGTCTACTAGGGTTTGCGTTTGAGCTTGTCTGTCTCATTAAATGGAAAGAAAAATGTGAACAAACAGTAGTTAGCCTATCCTTCCCAGGGACGTATTTCCTCATCAAGTTCCATCTAGATAAAGCAGACAGCATTAGTATGGTAATGATTTATCAATGTCTTTGAAGGACCATTCAGGTACACAATGTGAAGAAAATGATAATAGTCATTTTCTTTTCTAAAATTGTTGGAGTGTATTGTTGGAACTATGTAAGAGGAAATGTTTTATTCACATCTAGCCAACACTGTACGGGATCGGAGAGAACTTTATTTTGTCACTGTTTGTAAAAGCATACATAAATTCTATATTCCGGCATTATTATATCAGCCTTTGGACTGGACAGCCAAAAGTCAAAATGGAGGTGCTATAAATACCAACTAGTGGTAAAGTGAAATGACCTCTGCTGATAATTAGAGCACCTGCATTGTTCTCATTCTGGACTCACAGTGGAAATGCCGACACTAACTCCAGTATGGACAGTGGAGCTGTAATAAACAAATAGGTCAAAGTTTCCATTAAATAATAGACAGCGGAATGCCATATGTATGTGTTAACTATTAGTTCACCAACATCTATAGCATAAAGGGCAATAGCTGTATCTGTTCCACAAATATTTGCCAAAATGCCACTTCAGGAAAATTCAGGCCAAAAGTAGGTCAACGTGCCTTATTTTAAAAATGAGAACCGCATTCTCCTATAATTCTGTACAAACATGCACAAAACAATCTTTACCAGGTGAATGTAGAGAGTATTCCATTGTTGCCAAAAAATAAATTGTAAGGAAATGTGTTATATTTGTGGTCTTCCAAGAAATGAAACAGATGTAATATAATAAAGATTAAGTATAAGACATTTTATGTTTATTGAAATATATTAAATGCCCCTTATCTGCTATGTTTTCTACAACAAAATTCACTAGTTATCAAACAATATTGGCCAAATATTCATGTCTGTGTGTTGGAATGTAAATGGGGATTTAAAAATAGTGACAGGATATGTCTCTAGGATTCCCACCTCTCACGCGGGATTTTTATGGCCCTGAGATAAGATCGTGGGTAGTACAACTTCGCTACTGCACTGAGCAATCACCTGTCTGCCTAAAAATTGTGAGGGTGGGAATTTCAGATGCCCTTCCATTTTCATGGAGTCAGGTCTATTTTGGTAGATCTGGTTTACTGCACCTTGGAGGAGAAATGAACCACAGAGAGAACTCAGTCCCAAGTGGGTAAACAAAGAAAAGGTCATCTGCTCCTAGAGTTCTTTTCTCGCAAGATTTTGAAATAAAAAGAAAAATCTTGCAGTTTTCAGTAGTTAAATACTGTATGATAAGCTAAATGTGTTTTTTTCCTTCCTGAGTAGTTAACCTATGGGGTTTTGTCCTGCAGAGGTAAGTTGATTATTACATTAAGAACATACAACAGTACAGCACAGTACCGGCCCTTAGGCCCACGATGTTGTGTCGACCTATTAACCTACTCTAAGATCAAAACTAAGCTGCATACCCTTCATTTTACTATCATCCATGTGCCCATCCAAGAGCCTCTTAAATGTTCCTAATGTATCTGACTCTACTACCACCACTGGCAGTGCATTTCATCCACCTACCACTCTCTGTGTAAAGAACCTACCTCTGACATCTCCCCATACCTTCCTCCAATCACCTTAAAATTATGCCCCCTCGTGATAGTCATTTCCGCCTTGGGAAGAAGTCTCTGGCTATCTACTCTATCTATGCCTCTCATCATCTTGTACACCTCTATCAAGTCACCTCTTATCCTTCTTTGCTCCAATGAGAAAAGCCATAGCTCTCTCAACCTTTCCTCATAAGACCTGCCCTCCATCCCAGGCAGCATCCTGGTAAATCACCTCTGCACCCTCTCTAAAGCTTCCACATCCTTCCTATAAAGAGGCGACCAGAATGGAACACAATATTCCAAGTGTGGTCTCACCAGGGTTTTATAGAGCTGCAGCACAACCTCGCAGCTCTTAAACTCAATCCCCCTGCCAATGAAAGCCAACACACCATATGCCTTCTTAACAACCCATCAACTTTGAGGGATCTATGGAAATGGACCCCAAGATCCCTCTGCTCCTCCACACTGCCAAGAATCCTGCCATTAGCCTGTTCTCTGCATTCAAATTTGACCTTCCAAAATGAATCACTTCACACTTTTCCGGGGTTGAATTCCATCTGCCACTTCTTTGTCCAGCTCTGCATCCTGACAATGTCCCATTGCAACATACAACAGCCCTCCACATTATCCACAACTCCACCAACCTTCGTGTCATCAGCAAACTCAATAACCCACCCTTCGAATTCCTCATCCAAGTCATTTATAAAGATCACGTTGACCACCATTGTACAACTGTAACATTACAGTGCTTTTTTCAACAGACAAAACCGTAAAAAAGATGTGTTGAGTAACTGTGTTATGTTTGGACTGAGATTTAAATGTTCAGGGATCTTGAGCTGTAAGGATAATGGCTCTGCTGTTGAATGTGTTTTAAAAATCTAAGCAGTTATGTTTCATTAATTGGTGTGCAACATTATCATTTTTTTTAAGGGCTCCTCTTGAGATTTTCCCAGGGGCTATTTTTTGATTTCCACGGGCTACCTTTTCATTCTCACTAACTTACATATTGGGTCATTTGGTCATGACCTGATGTAGTTGTGGTGATTTATGGGCATCTGGACTCAACAGAAGCAGAATTAGAAGAATTCACAAATGTCCTCAATTATCAGCCCTCCATTAAATTTAAAAGCACAGCTCAAGGAAAACGTAAATTTCCAAGAGTATTTCAATTAGCAAAAGACCATAGGCATAAGGTAGCAATTATTTTTCCAAAATAACTGACACTTTTTTTTACACAAAGAAAGCCATGTGATTGCACTAGAGAGGTTGCTGAAGAGATTCACCAGGATGTTGCCATGAACAAAAGCAGGATGAGCTTGATTTGTTTTCTTTGGAGCAGAGGAAGTTGACAGGGAATCTCCTCGAGCTGTATTAGATTTTGAGCAGCATGAACAGGGTGAACAAAAACCAGCTGTTCCCCTTAAAGGGTCATTAACAAGGGGATATAATTTAAAGGTGGAAGGCAGGATGTTTAGAGAACGTTTGAGGAAAACATTTTTTCACGCAGACGGTGGTGGGGGTCTGGGTAGTTGAGGTGGGTAATCTCATAACCATTAAAAGGTACTTGGAGGAGCACTTGAAGTGTCATAACATTCAAGGCTATGGGCCTAGTGCTCGAAAGCAAGATTAGTATAGATTTAGTGTAGCTTCAGCAGTAAGAATTTGATGGGCCTAAGGGCATCTTCTGTACAGTATGATTCTATTCCAGATGCACCTCCCAGATTGGAGAGGTCACAGCTAATGCATTTCCATCACATGCTGGAAAATCTTAACCAGGCAATTGCTTTCTTTCTCATTACACCTCAGATTTAAATGTAATGATTGAAACTGTGTCCTTCACAATAGTATCCACTGCACTTTCCTTGTATGGTAGCTTCTGAAAATGGACAGCTTTAAGCTAGAGATTCTACGTTCATTTGCAAGTAATTCATCACTTCAGTGATTTCTATGTTTTTTTCTTATAGTTGAATGTTCTTTATTAACAGATTTAAACATCTCTCTTCTTTGTAACATCCATGTATCCCTCTGTCTTCTGGTTTCCTCATAGCCTGCCTCCCTCCCCCACCCCTCGCCCTCCTGCCCGCCTCCCTCCACAAAGATAACTATAAATAGAATTCAAGTCCACACATTTATGTGAGAGTTATATTTCAATAAGACACACTCCATAATACTCATACCCCATTGATTACTAGCTCACCATATTTATAGAACCACTTTAATTCCAATCAACTCTTAATTAATCCATTATCAATCACCTGTTCCTTCATTCTATTAGGTTTCAAGCATTCCTTCAGACCATGTTAATGTTAATCAATCTATAGTAACAAACAAAATACTACATGTCAATAGACTGCATTCCCATTTGTTTCTTTGTTCATTAAAGTTTCAAGCATCATTTTTTCCACTATGTTCTACAGTTTGTTAGAACCTGTTTTTGTGAAGCCCTACTTTGACTCATGGCATTGGAGCTAACATTTTCCAAATAAGATTGCTGATACAATAGTGACATTTGATCCATTCTGCCGGATTTCCAATACAATGTACTTGAAAACCCCTGAAACTTGATTTCCAATTTCAAATTCTTCTTTGAACCCAATCACGGCAATGTTTTCAAAGTCAGTGCTCCCAACCTACAAAAAAAAATCTACATGCATCATAAAGATGCCTGCAAGTCGTCCATATGATGCCAATAAACTACGACGTTTGATCTTAACTGAAGCCAGCCCAATTTCAATAAGATAGACCTTATTAAGAAGTACCAAATTCTAAAGGCATAATTTAGGCCATATACACGTATATTTAATATTTTCTGAATTTTTAAAAATTCTCACAGTTTCCAGCTATTAAAACAAATTTAACCCTTTATCTCCTGCCATAAAAGATGTAATTGACCCTGTCCCCTTCACTGGTGCCTGTTAAAATGTTCCTGGGCATCAATTTGCCCCTTTATTTGAAAATTTTCAAATGCTTCTACAATATCAGCCTCAAAACAACCTATAAATAGGAGCTTGTTTGGATGAGGATGAAATGTAAGGAATGAAAGCTAGAGTCTCCTGAATGATTAAAGAGACAAAGTAAAATGAAACAAAAAAAGGGAGTGTGTGGCAGCTGTCAGGTTGTAATATAAGGAAGAACAAGGCTAACGGTAGCAAGTTCAGAAGGGAAGTGAATATTATGAAACACAAAAGTATAAGAGAAGACTTCTACTAACATGGAAGGGAATTCAAAGATCTTCTACTGGCATAAAGTGTATGGATTCAATTAAGAACCAATTCATTCAGGATCAAAAAGAAGACCTACACATGATGACAGGAGATCTAGTTGAGACACTAAATAAGTAATAATGAGGCCTTAAGTTTATCTATTCTATTTTATGTACACTGATC